CTTTTCAGTAACACGAGCATAACCTATATTAAGATTGTGGGAATAGAATAGTTGTTTTTTTTTTTTAACTTAACCATCTTTGACCAGATTGATTCTCTACAGTAGTTTCCTATATTCCTAGGTTTCGAAGCTGAAATAAAAGATCTTAGCAGCCAAATCCAGAGGCTTATGCTGAGGAAACTCATGTTTTGAGGAGAGGTGGAGAAGTTGGTAGGAGTGGTCTTGATCTCTCACTCATCAGGCCGGGGTTCTGTGTCCACTCTGCTGGTTGTGTAAGATAAACCTAAGCTTCAATACCCTCATCTCTAAGGTGGAGCTAAGCATTTCATAGAGTTAGGGTAAAGATTAAGTCAGATAAAGAAGTGCCTGGTACAGAGCATTCTAACTGCTTATCTTTCTCCCTTATTAGTTAGTCACTTCTCAAGGCCAGAGACCCTGTCGGATTTATTTCTTTTGTTTTGACTCTCCCATAGCTCCAGAATACAACCTCCCTGGTAATCTCTTTATTGGTACCTATTCTCTACCTTATCTGTGCTAGGCACTAGAGATGCCAACACCATCAACAGAAGCTGCAAGATGAGTAAATTCAGCTGGGACAAGGAAACAAAAAATTCAAAACAAAACGAAGTTGTGGGGAGGAAGCCCAACTTACCCTTGCTGGACAGAGGGAGTTGGTGGGAGGGAAGGGATATTCTCTATTGCCACACAAGACTATCTCCCAGCCTGCATTTGAGTTGAGATGCTTGCTTACCCAGGCCGAGGGTAGTGTGCTGGCAGGGCAGGGAGAGGGAAGGAAGAACTGACCGAGAGCCATTGTGTATAGACAAATGAGACTTAGCTGTGCCTTCAAGGAGTTTACAGTTTGAGGAGTCAAGATGGGAAATATAAATAAGCACTGAAGTAGAGTGTAATAATTTCTGTAATGGGGAATGCAAGTGTCTTCAAATTTGTTCTCTTCTAAAGAATAGAAGCTATAGGTAGAGCTCGTGCAGCATGAGAAGTTTCAGAACAGTCTACTGGAGGGAGTGTCTTAGGAAAGGAAGGTGTTCACTCTCAATAGCGATGTAAAGGCTGGAGTGTGTTGTGTAGAGGAGGCTCTAGTCCACATGTGAAGGTAAACCAGATGGCCTTTAAGTACTTCTAACCTCACCAGTCTGTGACCCCTAAGTCCATTCCTTTACCTTGTCCTGAGGATGTCACCTATAAAATGAAGAGGGTTGGGCTAAAGATCCTAATGTTTCTATTCTGTGCTATCTGCCAAATTTAAGTGAGTGAAATAAAATTCCACTTGGAGGACTTCATGGAAGATCCTATAATTGCTGATAAAGGGAAATGCACTATCTCTCACATGAACTTGAATAGAATCCAGGCATGAGACTGGATCACTTTGCTTCCCAGATTAAATCCCTAACTTTCCCCACCCCCACCCCCCCAATCCTCATCAGAGGATGTTTTCACATTGATTTTTAGAGAGAGTGGAAGGGAGGAGGAGAGACCGAGAGAGAGAAACATCAATGTGAGAGAGACACATAAATTGGTTGCCTCCCACATGGCCCCAACCAGGTCCAGGGATCAAGCCTGCAACTGAGGTACATGCCCTCTACCGAATCAAACCTGGAACCCTTCAGTCTGCAGGCCAATGCTCTATCCACTGAGCCAGGAACTAAATCCCTGACCTTCTTCTACAGAAGTGGCAGACCTCCACATTGCTAATTAAGTGACAACAAGTTGGCTACCTCAGTTCTGAAATCAGAAAATGAATGGAGTCTGGGGAAGAGAGATTAATTTTCTTTGGAATTGGGAAGGATTTAGGGAAATGCATATTAACAAAGATACACTATTAAAGCTCAATATTTACAAATCCCAAAGAAGCTTTTAAGGATTTAGGGATTTATCTTTGACTTTTAAAATCAACTTTTCATGGCTAGTCAAATACCAATGACATTTAAAAACTACGGAGAGCAATGAGACAGGCACATACACATTGCTAGTGCAAGTGTAGATTGATAGTCTTTCTAGAAAGCAGTGTGACAAAGTATGTGAAGACTGTTAGCATGTCACTTCTTATCACCTTTTCCGCTCTAGCCCTGATCTGAGTCCCATCTTCTGTTGATGACAGATGTTTACAGTGGCTTCTATGCTTCCCCTCTTATAGTCTCTTTTCAGCACAGCGATCAGAATGACCCTTTTCAAACGTATGTCAGATCATGTTGTAATTCTGCTCAGTATCTCATGATGACTGCTCATTTCACTCAGAGTAAAAATTGAAGTTCTTACAGCTTATAGGGCCCTACATGAACTAACTTCCACTACTACTTTATCTACTCTGACCTCTACTACTACCATTGTCCCCCTCGCTTATTCCCCTCAGCCGAACTGGCCTCCTTACTGTTCCTCAGACTTATCCTGTATTCTTAGAACTTAGGGCCTTTGCACTGACTGTTTCCTTTGCAGTGAGTGCTCTCTTTTCAGCCATGCTTGGTTAACTCTGTTTTCTTCAAGTCTTTGTGAAAATCTTATCTTCTTAAGGTGTCTTAGCTGGTTACCCTCAGTACCATTGCACTTCTGATGCCCTTTTCTTTTTCATAGCACTTAAGTCTGTGTTTGTTTATATTTTATCCACTGCCTCTCACACCATCTTAGAATCTAAGCTCCAAGAGGGCAGGGATCATAGTGTCGGCATAGAATAGAGACTCAGATATTTGTTGAATGGATGGGCTTTAAAAATACTAGCTGTCTTTTGACCTAGAAATTTCATTTCTAGAATTGGTTTCTAAAGAAATAATTAGAGGTGCAGCTAAAGATTTATTTAGGTTCCCATAGCTTATGTGTAACAAAGCAATGTAGCAAACAACCTAAACATCTAAAAATAGAGTAATTCCATTGATTTGGCTAAAAATGGAATATTATAAAGATATTAAAATGTTTTTGAAGAATGTGTAATAACATGGGGAAATCTTTATAATGTTAAAGTGTTGGAAGGCAGAATATAAAATTACATATACCCCTACCTCACACTTTATTTTTAAAAAAAATATATTTTATTGATTTTTTACAGAGAGGAAGAGAGAGGGATAGAGAGTTAGAAACATCTATGAGAGAGAATCATCGATCAGCTGCCTCTTGCACACCCCCTACTGGGGATGTGCCCGCAACCAAGGTACATGCCCTTGACCGGAATCGAACCCGGGACCTTTCAGTCCGCAGTCCAACGCTCTATCCATTGAGCCAAACCGGTTTTGGCCCTACCTCACACTTTATATAAAAAATGGATCAATGATTTAAATATAGAAGCCCAGACCATAAAACTCTTTGAAGAAAACATAAGGCTAAATCTCTATGACCTTGGATTTGGTGATGGATTCTTAGATATAACACCAAAAGCATGAGCACAAAAGAAAAAATGGTACATTGGACTTCATCAAAATTTTTAAAATTTTGCACCAAAAGCATTGTCAAGAAAGTGAAAAGATAACCCAGTGCGAGAAAATTTTTGCAAATATATATCTGGTAAGGGTTGACTATCCAGAATATATTAACTCAGTAACAAAATAACCCAAATTTTAAAATTAGCAAATGTTTTGAATAGAGACTTCTCTAAAGGAGATATACAAATGCCAGTAAGCATGTGGAAAGATGCTCACCTCATTAGGCATTAGAGAAATACAAATAAAAACCACAATGGAATACCACTTTACACCTTTTAGGATGCCTGTAATCAAAAGTAACTAGTGTTGATGAAGATGTGGAGAAATTGGAAACTTTATGCATTGCTTGCGGGAATGTAAAATCGCACAGCCACTATGAAAAACAATGTGATGGTTCCTTCAAAAAGCTAAGCATATAATCATTGTATGGCCCAGCAATTCTGCTCAGCATATACCCAAAAGAATTGAAAACAGGACTCAAAAAGGACTTGTATCCCAATGTTCATAGCAGCTTTGTCCACAATAGCCAAAAGGCAAACAAAAACTTACATGTTCATCAACAGATGAATGGGTAAATAAAATGTGGCCCATACATAGAGTGGAATATTATTCGGGCGTAACAAGGAATAAAGTTCTGATCCATGCTACAACATGAATAGACCTTGAAAAACATACTAAGTGAGAGAAGCCAGACACAAAAGTACAAATAGTGTTTGATTTTGTTTATAGAGACAGAAAGTAGATTAGAGGTTAACAAGGGGCTACAGGGAGAGGGAATGGAAAGTTACTGCTTCATGGGTACAGAGTTTCTGTTTGGGGGTGATTAAAAAGTTTTAGAAACACATAATGGAGATAGTTGCACAACATTGTGAATATAATTAATACCACTGGATTATACACTCAAAATGACTAAAATCGCAAATTTTGTTACATATATTTTACCACAATAAAAATTTTCAAAAAAACAACAAACAACACCTGTGTAAAATGTGCAGTGTTGGGCTGCACCTAGCTTATGCAGGTTCTCTAGAGCCAATTGTGAGCAACACTTCCCAACTACTCCTTCAGTGATGTCGGTAGCTTCAAATTGACCAAGGTAGGAGTATTTATATGATGAAACTTCACAAATGCTACAAAACAGAGCTTCATTTAAGTATGTACCTGCATACTACTAAATATATGCATATAAAAAATAGATAGAAAATTGTCTGGAAGGATAGATGCCAAACTGTTATTACCTCTAGGGAGAAGAATATTGTAGCCAGAATACAACAGAAAACTTATACTTTTAATCATACACATTTCTATATTGTTTCAACATTTTTACAGTGAGCATATAGACATATATTTCTTATACTGTGTTGTTGTTGTTTTAATGGATAGGAAAATCTGCATATGATGGGATTGTGGTGTGGTGGCTTTTCTTTAGGGAGGGTAAAAGCTAATCACATATACCGTCTGATGTGGCCAATGAAGAGGCTGAAGGCCAAGCCTGGGACCTGGATTCTGTTTCCTCAGAAATATGCTTTGCTTCTTGCCCAACTAAATGGAGCTTTTCTTGTCTCTTTGTAGGTTACCCCACAGCCTATCCAGCAGCAGCCCCTGCCTACAACCCCAGCCTGTACCCCACCAATAGCCCCAGTTACGCTCCAGGTAAGGAGAAAGTAGAGATAGTAGTGGTGAGTGGGGTAGGAAGTAGGTTCTATTGAGAAAAACAGACCCACCTCCTGGCTTTTCCCTGTTCTTAATTACTCTGGGCTCAGCCTGTACAATATGATTCTCCTGGGAGTTCCCTCTGAGAACTGGGCAGTTCAGCCTTAGGGTGGGGGCAGGAGCAGAATCTCTTCCATTTTACTTGGGGCTTAAGATTGACGCATTTCTCCTCTGTTGGAATATCTGAGACATGCATCCTTCTCACAGAACCTTGTCTACTCTCCCAAACAACGTCCAAATCCTCCATTCTTTGCTCAGTTGCCTCTGAAAGTGTCATTAGAAATACACACAATCTCTCACTCTCTCTCTCTCTCTCTCTCACACACACACACACTGACACACTTCTCTCTCTCTCTCTCTCTCTCACACACACACACTGACACACTTCTCTCTCTCTCTCTCTCTCTTTCTCTCTCTCTCTCTCTCTCTCTCTCACACACACACACACACACACACACACACATTCTCTATCACACACACACACACACACACACACACACACGCACACACTTACTTTCTGGGTGTGTGTGGATTTGGAAGAGAGTGAGAGACTTGCCACCAGGAGATAAAGAGCTGATTTTCAAGCTGCGGCAAATCGCTTGTTTTTCAAAAATCATGAAGAGCCAACACTCCTTGGATAGAAGTTGAAATAGGTTTGGAAATGTTGAAAACGTCCTAGTTCGGGCTAGGAGCAGTACCAAGGTATCCTCACTGACCTCACTTCCACACTCGGCTGGCGCTTTAACACCGAGGGGCAGGAGAAAGAGTGTGGGCTCTGCGGTTAGTCCCGGGTTTGAATCCTGATTACTCAACTCACTAGTTGTGAGGCCTTGGACAAGTTACCTGACATCTCTGAGAAATGTGCTACCTACCTCAGGGTTGTAGGTGTTTTATGTAAGTTCCTCTTCATTTACTCAGCAAGAATTTATTGGTTGAATGTTTTCCACACCGGGATAGAGAAAAAGGATGCCATCCTTGCCTCAGTGGCTTACCGTCCATTTGGCATATGAACAAATTCTGGTTGTGCAGCGTGATGAGTATTGTAGAAGGAATACAAATAAGAGGAGAAAAGGCAGAGAAGGGAACAACAGTCTGCCGGAGATGAGAAGTGTGGGAGAGGCTTGAAGAAGTAAGAGTGTAGCATTGGAGGCCCAGTTGAGGGTGGAGGCCGTGAATCTGTCCAGACTCTGTTCCCCAGGCCTGGGCTATTTCCACAGGATGTTCAGAACTTGTGGTAAGGGATTGTGGAATTGTTTTAGGATTAGTTTGGCCAGAAAGTAGAGGATAGGAAATAAATAGCTAGAATTTGTTGAATGGTTCTTATGCTCCAGGGACTATTTTGAGCTCCTTATGGACATTAACTTCGTTTATATCACAACAAACCTTTGAGGTTAGTACTGTTGCTATTCCCATTTTTCCAACTGGGAAAACTAAAACTTTAGAAGTCAGGCAACCAGCCCAAGATCCAAGCCCAGGCGTCCTGCCACCACACCTGCATGTGCTCTTAACTACACATTTCACTAGGACCTGGCCAGAAAAAATTGAGGGTTAGACTAGAGCAGCCAGACCAGAGAGCGAAGGGAGAGCAGATGGAAGGAGCTGAGCTTGGGGGTGTGGTGGGGGGAGCAGACATTGGCAAGCTCTTGGCACATATAAAGTACCAATTAAACTTTAGTTTTAAAACAAAGTATCAGCCCTCATCAAACTTGATTTTCCCCAATTTTGAAAAGCCAACATATTTCTAAGCTGTGACTAAACCAACCCAAATCATTTTCTCAGAAACCTACAAAATCCATTAGAGAGGGTGGGATGAGCTCGTTGTGTCAGAAAGCCCCAAACCGGGGAGACCAGGGTTGTACACATCCTGGCCACCTGGTCTGTTTCATATTCGGGAGGCTGGCGTCTGCACTCACCAGGCTGCTGACTGCAGTGGGGGAGCTCCTGCTGCAGGGAACTGGCTGGCTCAAGGACAGAGAGGACACTGTAGGTTACTTCCAGCTTCCTGCCAGCGCCTGCCACTTGTGATGCTGAGAGTTGCCTGTGGGATAGAAACCTGCAAAGGAGCCAGGCTCTCAGATTTAAATTTCTCTCCGCTTCTTCAAGGAGACCAAAAAGTTGCTTTAGAGAGAGCTATTTTTAGCAGCTCTGAGTACCCTCATATGTCATCTGTCCAGGATACAGGGCCGCATTTCAATGGTTTGAAGGCAGTGTAGGTACTTGGAGCTTTCCCTCCCCCAAGCTCTTAATGACTTTGGGGATCTTATTGGAGAACTATATGGCCCCCCAAGAAACAAGAGCCAACTGACACTTGTTTTTGGAATCTGGAGGCCAAAGGATGTGTCATGTTGTCATATCAATGGTAATCTGACTTGAAAGTGAGAGGAAAAGATAAGTAGGATAATGGATAAGATAAGGATGAAATACTGTCTCACAAGAAATCTGTTTTATAAATCATTTTCATCGATTGTTTCACTTGATTTCATAGCAGCCTTGTAAAGTGCAAGTGTATTTTTCCTATTTGACGTGTGATGATCCTGGGGAAAGGATTTGTGTTTACTAAACACCTGTCATCTTCCAGACACTGTGCAGGGCATGGCACACTTTCATTTTACCTTAGTCTTGTAAGGTAGAGCTTCTTGTCTCCAGTTTTGCTCAGGGAGTTAAATAACTTGTCCAAAGCTGCTCAGCTAAAAAGCAGTGGAGCTGGGATTCAAACCCAACCTGTTTGAGCCCACAGCCCATGCTCCTCCTCCTGCACCACATTTCCCAGAGGCCTCAGGGCGGGAAATGCCTTTGCATTGGCTGTAGCTCTCGCGGGCTTTACAGAGAGCTCTTCAGAGGCCAAAATGATGATTTTGTGCCTGAACCTTCATGTCCTCTAGCACATAATCTCTGTCATGGGTGAAGTCCCTCTGCAGTACTTGGGGGAACTGAAATTTATTCTTAGCATGGACAGGCAAAGCGTGGGACCCTGGTCTTATTCACCTCCAGGCCGCTTCTGAGTCCGCTGCTGGGAGAGGTCATCACATCCAAGGAGGTGCCCTCAGTGAGTGGGCTTTTCTGGATGGCAAGTCTGTCACTCCCCTCCGGGGTGGAGGCTGTCGCACCCTCTGCACTCTGTTTCTTGTGTAGCTTGGGGTAAACTGCTAACTTGAGACAAAGTCTGTTTTTTTGTAACTGCAATGTGTACTACTTTGCACAGATTCTTAGTGGTAATTTCAACTAACATTTCTATCCAACAGAGTTTCAGTTCCTGCATTCAGCTTATGGTAGGAGAGCTATTTTTCCTCATATGTATTATGGCCTATGAATGTGTTATCTCGTAACAACGGTAGACCCCCTCTCCTGCCCTTCCCAAATCCCATCCCCTAGGCTTGGGCTCCCCCAGGTGGCTCAGCAGCAGTTCCTAAAGCATGCAGGAACATGTATGATGGTGCAAAATCATGGGTTGGAGACACACATGAACCGTCCCCAGGGTAGCAGTGAAGGATCATGGCACTAAAAGGCGTCTCTCCCCTTCCTCACCTCCGGAGTCCCATCTGACCCAGGTCAGAAACCTTCACCATAACTGGCTGCTAAGTCCAAACAAGCGAAACAAAAATTTTGGGCTGCTATGGCTCCTTGTTGGCTTTGAGGCAGCCTCTTGGAGGAGTACCTGGATTATGCCTATAAGAACCAAAAGCAAAACAAAAACAGCCCCCAGATCAGATTCTTCATCTCCGTCAGCAGTCTGACATGTTTGAAGAACTGGTTGACTTGAGATAAAATCCGTTTCCTTCACCCAGATCTTGAGCTCTGGATCCTTTCCAGGGCATTTTCCTGAATGGAGAGAGGTGAGGGTCAAGTGTGCCAACATGAGTGAGAGACCAGAGCTGGGTTCTCTGGGGAGTGTGGACTCCAGGCCCAAGGCACCACAGGAACTTATGGGCACCTGTGAGGGTCCCAGCAATGTAACTTGACTAGGTCCTTTATGTCATAGACAGGAAGGGACCATGGGAGGGACTTGCCACTTTCACCACCCTCACCTGGGCTGCTCAGGACAGTGTTTTTGTAAAATTTCTGCACACCTTCTCAACTTTTACCCTTAAATTACTTGGGTGCTGAATATTGAATTTGTGTGTGGCGCATCTTTCAGAAGATGAGCTGTGAAAATTTCTCTTTGCCACTGTCGTGTGCTGCGTGATCTTGGGCAAATTGCTAATGTCTTCAGGCTATAGATAATATGTCTTATTCCAGATGATCTCCAAATGAGGTCCGTTTAAATGCTAACAGCCGGTCCTCTTAAATTTTTATTATTTCAATTTTGCTAGTTATAGACTTGTTTCTCCTGTCCTTTATGGGGAGTCACTTGTTTGCCTTAGGATGTATGAACTTGGACAGAGGACTCAGTAAAAAGTGGGAGATGCTCTCATGCTCCCCCATCCCTCTAGTTATAGCATCCACAGTTCTGTTCCAGGCCCTAAGCTGTCCTTTGAACCTACGAAGACAGTAAGACAGGGCCCTGTTATCAGTGAGCTCCCAGTTTAGTAGCAGAGACAGAGAACCAGCTTCTAAGAATTACAGTGACCAGAAAATAGTGGACCGTATGGGATCTGTGAGGGAGCTGTGGTCAAGGAGTGGGGGAAAGAAAAGACTAATAGTACAGATGGATGAGTCTTTAGCTCATGATTAATGAATCAATAAATGTTTACCAGTTAGCACTTGGGGAAAGACTGGGCCAGGAAGGGCGACCATTGTCAGCAAAAATACAGAGATGTGACGTTCCTTGGCACCTTCTGGGAATGACAAACAGGTTTGTGTGGCGGTGCAGGGTTAGAGAATGAGAACAAGAGATCATAGGTCTAGAGAGATCATAGGACTAGATCATATGAGGCATGGAATGCCACACAAGGAGTTCAGCCCGTAGGCATTGGACTTCTGTGGAATGTTAAAAAAAAAAGGGGGGGGGGGGTGGTTTGTGATTCGGTTTGGGTCTTAGAAATAGCACTCTGAGTACAGCTTGGAGATTACAGTTGCCAGGTTTAAAAACAAACAGAACAGTGAGGAAGAAGTGGCAGGAGCTCAGGTGACGATGATGAGAGCTTAAATTAGAGTTCTGTGGGATAGGAGAGTAGACGGATATCAGGGTTAGAAACTGTGAGACTGGGTGATACCTATGTTTTTTAATATTAAAAAAGTGATTTATAGAGAAAGGGGAAGGGAGAGGGAGAGAGAGACATAAAATGGCTGCCTCCTAGGCATGCACCCTTACAGGAATGGAACCGACAACCTTTCAGTGCTCAGGACGACGCCCCAACCACTGAGCCACGCCAGCCAGGGCTCTGACACTTTATTTTTGATTCTCACATCAATACTATGAAGTGATGGGGAAGGACTATTATTGCCATTTTAGAAGACAATAAAATGGAAGTTTAGAAAGGTTGTGACTTGCCCAAGGTCTCACAGTTAATAAGTGGCACAGCCCAGGCTAGAATTCAGATTTCCTGACTTACTACATTGTTCAGGATGGTGGTCCCTTGCTGCCTCTTCTCCTTGTGAGTGTGCTTAGCAGACTGTTAAGTGTCAGAGGGCACGAGGGCCCCGTATCCAGGGAAGTGAACAACCCAGCACGTGGATGTGGGCAGCATGCTGTGACTGGGCCATGGCCCTTCACTGCCAAGGGTTCTCTCTCTCTCTTTCTCTCATTCTCTCACTCTTGCTCTCTCCTTTTTAAATTGAGGAATAATACATATACTATAGTATATACAGTGCACTAGTCTCAAATGGACAGCTCAGTAATATTTGACATATGTATACATTTTGTTTAACTACCACCCGGTTCAAAATACAGAAACCTTCCTAGGAGTTGGTACCTTTCATGGCACTCAGAAGCAAACGAGCCTGTCAGAGCAACCTCCTCTGAAAGGCCCGTTGGGTTGTCTTCATCCCACAACTGAGCTCGGAATCACTAACACCAACAGAACGGGCACTTTTCCTCTGGAGGAGGAAGATCATAGGGCACAACGAATGAGGAAGCCAAGTTGACAGCTAACATTCTTTGTTGGTTTTAGTCTTCCTGTTTATCCAGTTATTTAAATTATTAAGTATTTAAAAATATAAAGAACTATATTTGTTTTCTTCATAATGAAACCAGAAGATACTCACTTCTTCAGGAACATGTACAGTTTGGTTCACTTAATCACTTGGGAAAGACATAATCAAAGGCACAGTCGCACTTGCTTCTTTCCTGGTTAATCTGAAACATTATTTTCTGTGTGTAATGCTGTCTTGTTCACTCTCTGGTTGGCGTGTGGCTGTGTTGCATCCCCCGCTAGACCATAAGTACCTTGTGTGCGGTGACCATGACCCACGTGTGTTCCTGTCCACCGTGGCGCTCCCTCAGTGCTGAGCGCAGTAGGCCTCAGTCACTCTTTGGTCAATTTTGATTTATTTACTCTGTCACACAGTCCTTCAGGCTAATGTCAGGCTTTTGGCTTATGATGAAAATTATGGCACAGAATTCACCACTCGGGGAAACAGCTGGACCTCCAAATTCTCCAAATTCTCTGCAGCCAAATTCAGGCCTCCTGATAGTCCCTGTGAGGTCTTGAGGGCATGGACTTGTCTTTTTTAGGGAGCTGTTTTGGGTGGGCAGAGCTATCCAGCCACATGGAGTGGCAGGTTCTAAATTTAGAGACATCTTGATAAGATTTTTCAGCACTAATTGGATCCTTTATTAATCCCCAACCCCCGCTCGCCCCTATCCCATAAAAAAGAAACCCAAGAGAATTATTTAAAACTGACTGCCCTCTCTACATTGTCTGCAAGCCATGTCTTGATGTCCAGCAGAGGCCTTGGACTCTGCATGGGATTCTGTTGAATCTCCATTTCTTTGGCCAGAATTAGCCTTTTAGTGTCACCTCCCTGCCCATGATCTCCTTCTCATTTCTCAGCATCCACTGAGTATATTGCGGGCCATTAATGCAAGCTCATGGTCAGCCCACAACAGCTACATGTATAGCCTTGGATCAGCAAAAACAGCAGTCCTTGACTTCCTTCTCTGGGCCTGGTATCTCATGACCGAAGGAACTGAGACGCTCCCAGTTCCTCAGACAGGCGGGGGTTATGGGACCTCTCTGGAGGTGGGCTCTCCTTATCCTGGTGGGATTAGAGTGTACAAGCACACTGTCTTTTCATAACACCCTGTCTTACTTAGCCCCTTGTTAAAATGTTTCAACGCAGCCCACCTTCTTCTAATATTCTTTAAAATACCCATACACATCACTCCCAAGACCTTATTTGAATAGAAGAGATACTGTTAAAATAATTATTTTTACTCTAAGTAGCAATTTGTGTCAGAATGTTTCTCCTCTAGTATTTGAAAGTATATCAAGGGAAATATCTAAAATGTTAGGCATTTCCCCCCTTTGAAACCCTATTTCCTCTCTCCTTCCCCACAGGATACCATGAAGGTAAGTTTTTTTGTGTTGTTTTTTTTTTTTAAGTTATTCCCACTTCTAGAACATATGAAGCATCATCCTTCACATTTTTCAAGCTGAGCTTTGAGTCAGCCTGGCAAGTCTCTGTAAATTTCTTTCAAACTGGGCCTCATCTCTGTTTCACACCTACTCAGGTTTGACATTTACTTTCTTTTCTTTTCTTTTTTTTTTTAAAAATATTGATTTCAGAAAGGAAGGGAGAAGGAGAGAGAGAGATAGAAACATCAAGGATGAGAGAGAATCATTGATTAGCTGCCTCCTGCATGCCTCCTACTGGGGTGGAGCCCACAACCCAGGCATGTGCCCTGACTGGGAATAGAATTTCAACCTCCAGGTTCATAGGTCGACACTCAACCACTGAGCCACACCAGCAGGCAACATTTACTTTTTTTAATGGCCCAAAAGATCATCTCTAATTCACGAGGAGATATCTCAAAGTGAGGGAGGCACCAGTAGCACCTCAACAGGAGGTATAAAGGGTGTGCAAGCCATTTGTCTGTCTGGCCCTGGCTGGGTATATATGAGGAATTAGCAGGGAGTGCCCCACTGGCCAGCATGGGCCCTCTAAGCTGCCAAAGCTCATTCCCTTTAAAAGAGATGGCAGTCTAGCAAGGTTCATGTCATATTGTAATTATTTGGGGGTTCTCTCTTTGAAAGCAACTTATTAAATCCAACTCCAGATGAGATTTCAGGCTTAAAGAAAGAGTACTCAGTTGATCTGGCCCAATAGACAGTCGTCAAAGGCTCTGAGTTGCTACACACTCATGAGAAAGTGGCTAAGGAATAGTCCAGGGCCTTAGGCCAGAGTGCCACACAGGAGGCAATATTCACAGGCGTCTTTGTGGTTTTGGTAGTGGATAGAAAATTTAGACTCTCCTAATTTGATATGAATTCAGATTTCCTGTGGTTCACTTCATTTGGAAGCTCACTTTAGCACTTCTCTCAAAAACCACCCAGCTCAGAAAGGCTGGACCGTCCTGTGTGTCTGAATAGGCCCCTTGAGTTATATGTTTCCGTCCAGCCCAAGACCCTTACTTTGTGTCTGTGATTGGTGGTGCCCACTTCTTATTTCTGCCTAATGCCATTCTTGTGTCTTCCCTTAAGCAACTCTGCTGATGAAACAGGCCTGGCCACAGAACTCGACTTCCTGTGGCACTGAAGGCACCTTCCACCTCCCAGTGGACACCGGGACCGAGAACCGAACTTACCAAGCATCCTCTGCGGCTTTCAGTAAATACAGCCTGTCTCCTCCTTTCCTGTTCCCCTTGGCTGGGACTGATTAGAGAGGAAAGGGAACTTTTAAAAGTGATGTTTATACGACACTATTTTAGGAGGTTCTCTCACTCACACAAAAAAATTGGCCTTCCTCACATAGGCAAGGTCATCCTCTTTGATTATGCAACCAGCTTTGGGAGACACAAAGCAGTGAGGGAGAGAGAACGAAGTGCTCATCTGCCAACAAGTTTGATGAGGGAAGGACTGTTACTATGTTTCAGGGGAAAGGACAGAGGGGACATTTGAACACCTGTATGTGGACCTTTAGCCAAAGTGGGCTCCTCAGCTAAGCTAGCACAGGGGTTCTCACCCCGGGTACTGTGGCATCTGGGTCAGATCACCCTTGTTGGGGAGCTTAGCTGCATCCCTGACCTCTCCTCCTGGGTTCCAGTAGCAAACCCTCTTGATGGCCATCAAAAATGTCTCTAAACGTTGCTAAATATCCCTCGGGAGACCAGATTGCCTCTGCCTGAGAAATACTATGCTCATTAAGCTGCACTGTGGTGGAGTAAAGTATGTGCGTGGAGTCCTCAGGGAGGGCAGTCACGCTCTGGCCAGTCAGATTGTCGCATTCATCTCGAGGCTCAGTGAGGTGTCTGGTGGTTTTATCTTCACATCTGATTTTTAACGCAAAATGGCTCTGCTGTGTAAAATGAGGATCAAAGTTGAGAAGTTAGTGGCATTTTGGCTCTTCATAAGTAGAAATGTTGGAGCTGTCCAAAGAGGAACGGCTGGCCTTGGATGTGGTGAGTGCCTGTCTGCAGTTGTCCTAGCAGGGGGTTGGACAAGAACTGGGCGGGAGGTTGCAGACTAGGCCCCATAGTATGTGATTCAGTGGCTTGTTAATCTATTACGTATGTAGGTCAGAAGAGTACATGGTATGTTCTTTTTCTTTAAAATACCCAGTGTCATGTCTTCTTACTTATCAGTGCTCCTAGATGTCAACATCCACTGATGTTCATATGTAACATAGCTCTCACCTTTTGGAAACTACTTTCATATCACCCTCATTTAATCTATACGGTAATCCTATTATTTGGGTAGATTTTTAATCTGAGTTTGAAAGCTGAGGCTCAAAAGGTAATATACCTGTTGCTATCCAATTAGTAAGCAGTACAACTACAAGAAGGTATCTCCATGGTTAAGTTGCTATTCCTTTTTTTTTTTTTTTTTTTTTTTAAATCTTCACCCAGGGATATATTTTGAGAGAGAGGGGGGGAAGTGGGGGAGGGGGAGGGAAACATCAATCAGCTGCCTCCTGTACATGCCTGACAGGGAATTGAACCTGCAACCTAGGTATGTGGCCTGACCGAGAATCGAACCCTCAATCTTTTGATGTATGGGACGACGCTCCAACCAACTGAGCTACCCGGCCAGAGCACTATTACTTTATTTTCATGAAATGAATTGTACTCTTTAAGAGAGCGGTGGCAGCAGTAGGAAATTTTTCCAGATACCCGTGGCATTATATATATATGTACATGTATATGTGGCATATGCATACATATTCTCTCTCATATCTATATGTATGTACGTAGATGCTTATTGACACGTCTACTGTAGTGCGGCAGAAAGAGCCTGGAGTGGAAGACCAAAAGAGTTGGATTTTAGATTTGTTTGTATGTAACTTTGGATAATTCTTTCCACATTTTGGACTTGGTTTTTACAACTGCAAAATAAGGGAACTAGACTAGGTCATCTTTAAGGTTCTCTCCAGCTGATTAAACTCCTGATTCTCATACTCAATATCTTCTACTCCAGCAGGGACCTCCTCCCTAGTTGCCCTGACCAATGACTAGCCATTGCTCACACATCTCCAGGTATGGGGTACACACATTCCCTTCAGAGACAGCCCTTTCCACAGTGAGAAAGTCTGAATATTAGAAGGCCTTGCCTTCTATGTTGAAATCTTCCTCCAGTCCCATTGAAATGTCCAGTATCCTATTACCCTCTCACAGTTTATCATAGTCCCCTCTCTTTTAAGCAAGTAACATATGAACCTGTGTAATTTTTAAATAGAGGTGGAATTAACTGGCCCATACCTACACCCATCAGGGTTCCTCCCAGCACACAGATTTCGTGGCTTCTAAGGCCACAGAAAATTCAGGGCACTTGGACAAATTTAGTTACTTGCTAAGCCTGTTTGTAACTAGGTCTCCCTCCTACTTATTCAGTACTCTCTTGTTCATCTACCAAGGAGACTTGAGGGTCAAGGCAAGAATCAGATGTAGAGCTTTGTCCAGACATATAAATCTAGTGGTCAATAAACCGATTAGTCTAAGAGGCATCCTTGATGTGAGAATCAATGCCTTTGAGGGTATAGGGCTCTACAGCTGAAGAAGATTATGACAGTGCAAAAGGATTGACAAGAGGACTTGCTAGTGTACTCACTTTCTTTATTATCCTGTTTGATGGAGCCTAAAGTTGTGGATAGGAACCTGAGAGAAAGAACAGGTATCATAAGACTCTTTTAAGGCAAAGCTGGGACTTTCCTTTTTTCTCTCAGGATATTGCCTTTAGTGGAATGATGACACAAATGTTAATATACCAAGTGCCCAAGATTGGCTTCCAGAGACCTATAGCTCAGAAAAGAGTTCTGTCCAGAGCATGGCAAACCCTCAGCTCTGGGCCCAGCTCTGCACTGATTTGCTGTGCAGTTTTGGGGATTCTCTGCCCCTCTGGGCTCCAGGTTCTTCATCTGAAACAGAGAGCATTGAGTTCAAGTTATAATGTCCTTAAGGCATTATATTCTAAAGTCCTAACTCTGACCTTCAGATTTAGGTAGAACTCCTTTAAGGAGTGTCAGGACACCCTTGAGTGAGTTGAGTCTATATTCATTTTAGCAAAATGCATTAGTTTTTGTGTTTTTTTGTTGGTTTGTTTTCATCAAGCCCAGCAGAGCTTTTACTTATAATAGATGCACAAAGCAATGACCCTGAATTTGGTGATGCTCAAGATAGCCAAGGCCACAACCCAGGGGATCTTCCAGTGATCCTCAGGCATGAGCACGACCACCAGTCCGTTGTGGAAAGTCCTCTGCAGTGATTTCCTCATGAACGTTTCACTGAAATACTCAGAGACTTAGAATGTCAGCACTGGGAAAGCCCCTCTAATATTATCTCATCTGAATGAGGCTATGTCTTGAGAAAAGAATTAACCTGACTCCCTGACAGGGCCCAGGGCAGTTTCCGCAGCCTTCTGACAGAGACAGCGCCCTTGAGAGCCTCTGTGGTCAGAGGACAGAGCCCTGAGTCCTGAATCCTTGCGAGCAGTCAAGCTCGCTCAGCATATGTTTAGTCTCTCATCTGAGACATTTGTGTGGATCCGATGATCTCTGAGGCCTCCCAGCTCCGCACTGCTGCTTCTCCCTGCTCAGACTGTCTGGACAAACAGGCAAGGTCTTCTGCAGCAGCAGCGTTTTGGCTGCCAAGGGTGTTTTGGCTACTGATTTGTATTCTGAGTATTGTGTGTCTTCATTACATAACATGGAAAAGAGAAACATTCTCAGACAAGGTTATTCTTAGATGTGGAAACCAAATTCTACTGCCATCTCTCAGAGCCATTTGGTTTTCCTCAGAGGGATGAGCTCAGCACTATGTAAGGTAGCTGTCCTTGTGGTGAGGAGGGGGGAGTGCAGGCTTTCCCAGGGATCAAAATCCCAGAGCTGATTCTCTGGAGCATAAAGGAGAGTCACCGGTATTGTTGGCTTGTTAACTTTCAAGATTCATAAAATGATGGCATTTTAGACTGAGGCATTCTAAATTTTAGAATCTTAGAGTCCTGGAGTCTTTTTCAAGTTGGGTCACGCCAAGGCGGCCATAGTTTAACCTTCCATCTACTGTAGTCTTTCAGACCAGTCTCTGCTTGTATACCTCCAGGACAGGAAGCTCACTATCTCTCTGAACAGTAAGAGAAAAAGAATATTAACCTTTAGGAAGTGCTATTGGACACTATTCTAAGGGCTTTGCATTTATTAATGTACTTATCACAGTAGTAACCCTATGAGTAGGTTCTATTATTACACCTCCTCTTCTCCTCCTCCCCCCTTCAGTTTACAGATGAGGAGACTGATATATTCTACAATTAAGTAACAGGGCTGGGATTTGGATCCAGGCAGTCTGTCTGGCTCTAGACTAACAACCACTACTCTGCCAGATAGCTTTCATCTTAGAGTTTGGGGGTGTCTTGCCCTCCCGTGGAAGAAAGATGCTCTCCACTCTGGCAGGACTCCCCATACCTTGTTTTACCCTTTTAAATCATGAGTCAGCAAGATAATAAGTATTTTAGACTTTTCAGGCCATGTGGTCTCTCTCATAGCTAGTACTGGAGCAGGAAAGCAGCCATAGTCCATGTAAATGAACGGCATGGCTGTGTTACTATAAACTTTACCAAACAGGCTCTGATTACCAAAAATTGCAGTTTGCCTGGTTTAAATGTAAATAGTATGAATAAAATATTCTGTGGCAAAATAAAATTGGGAATAATCTCCTGCACGTCCCTATTTTAGAGATTCACAGTTCATCTTGTCATTTTAAAACTTCTCAGGGCCATGGAATAAAAAACCTCAATCTACTTATCTCTATTTTATATTGCTGCTTTCTTTCTTTTTTTCTTACAAAATAATGATTAAGATCCCTCAGAATCACAGTCTCTTGTGTACTCTCGGGATGTGCCCAGCCACCTTGTTTTACAGAAGATAATCTATATCTCCAAGCCAAAATACCCCTCAGATGGCTTCCAGAAGTCTGCAAAGCTAAACTCCCTGTTTTCTCCACATTTCTGCTTCTCCTCTGAACACTTCTCATGATTAGCTCCACAATCTAGAAACTTGGAGGAATCTGCTGTAGACTTCTCCCTCAGCTGGCTTATACCACCCCTTCTAGCTAGTTCCCAGTTCTTATCAGTGCTCCCTTCTCTTTGTCTTCTTTCCCCTCCATCTTCTTTGCTACTTATTTCCCAAGTGTGTTTGACCACAAAATTGGTTTCTGATGGAACAAACTGTGGCTCTCCAGGAGGAAAGATAAATGACATGACTCCAGGGAGAGGACAGGACATATTTTATGGTGCCTTTGTGGCAGCTAAACAGCACCTCCCAGATCCTGCCAGCTCATCTGGAACTGGGGCACCAAGCCAGAGCTGGGATGTGGCCTGAGAGAGATTTGTGACGATGTGGCACTGTCCCTTCAGCTCAGAAAGAAGTGGAGCGTCCCATAAGACCTGCCTTCTCAGCCCCAGGATCTCCTTGTGTAGATCTTTGAGTTCTGTCCAGTCATTCATTTGTGTTTCTTGTTCCTGAGTGAGGCGTGTTTCAAGTGTTTGCTGTGAACACAGAATCTGAGTCTCTTCTCTGAAGAGTCAGGGGCAGCAGCCTCGTTGGTTGGCTAACGGTGAGTTTCTTAGGGTCTGACTTCTCAGCCTGCCCCCAGATTTTGTCTACTCTGCTGAGTTACGCACATGGCCTGGGTTCCAAATTACTGCGAGTCTTTGTGACCCTGACTTCAGGCCTTCAGGCAGAGGTGCCCTGCCTCATGCCCCAGGGGGAGAGGAAGCACCAGCTCTAGCGAGCAAAGTGTTTCAGCATCTCTGAAGGTGAGGATCTTTGGTGTTTTATATTGAGTTTGTTTGTTTGTTTGTTTTAATTGATTTCAGGGAGGAAGGGAAGAGGGAGAGGGAGAGAGAGAGAAACATCAATGATGAGAATCATTGATCGGCTGCCTCCTGCATGCCCCACACTGGACATGTGCCCTGACCGGGAATCAACCACTGAGCCATACCAGCTGGGCTGTATGAAATTTTCATCTTAAAACTTGTCACGGAGGAAGGGGAATATGGTGGAAGGAGAGATACAAAGGGAAAAAGAAATGAGAAAGGGGGAAATCAAGAAAGACAGAAACAGCAGAAGATAGCCTGGGTGCTTAGTGAGGAGACAGAAAAGCAGCAAGACGGAGAATACAATAAAGAGTGGGCAGGTTATGTAATACATTAAGCAATCAAGAATGTAAATTAACAACAACAAAAAGTTACACTATTAATGCATATATGTATAAAAAATAAAGTGAGCAGGTTGAGGGTCCCCTGTCTGTGTGCACCTGCCACTCACGGCATGTAGCTCAGAATCCCAGACCATCTGAGCTACCAGGGTCCCTTAAGAGATCATCTGCTTCCATCTGTTATTTTATAGACGAGAGCCCTAAGATCCCAAGAAGTAAACGATGCCAGAATTGCACATGCATCCCTGTGCACCAGGACTGAGGGAGCTGCCTCTGGGAACAGGGCTCTCTGAGTGAAGCCCTGCTCCCTGTCTGTTCTCATCTGTGTTTCCAGCCTGGATTCAGCCCATTCTTGTCCAGGGAGTCGTGACTGGAACCTGCTACCTTCCAGCACTGCTGTTCTGCCAACTAATTGGAAGTCTTTCTTATTGCCTTGGTACAGGATATACTGCGGGGACACCATACAAGGTCCCACCGACCCAGAGCAATACCGCTCCACCCCCCTACTCCCCATCACCCAACCCCTATCAGACGGCCATGTATCCCATCAGAAGTGCCTATCCTCAGCAGAATCTGTACGCCCAGGTAGGTGCATTGGAAGCCTGGGCCCACCTCTTCTAAAGGTAAAGGAGCACCAGCCTGAGGGGGTGGGTGAGCGGGTGCAGGGAAGAAAGAAAAGGAAGGCGGGCTCTGGTTCTGGACAGCTTCTTTGTTGTCATGGAAACAATATCCCTGCAGCCTGTACCTTCCCTCACTCCACCTCAGCCCCTGGGAGTGACACACAGTCACCTTGATTAACGGAGCCCAGAATGCAAGATGGGCAAGGGCTCTTGGAGATCATCTAGCTGCACTGCTCTTTTATATACAAACTAGAGGCCCGGTGCACGGATTCATGCACCGGTGGGGGTGTGCCTGCAGGGATCGGTACACTGTGGGAGTGCTGGTCAGCCCAGCAGCTGCTCATCCCAGTCAGCTGAGCAGTGCTCCCACTGTGGGAGCACACTGACCACCAGGGGCAGCTCCTGCATTGAGCATCTGCCCCCTGGTGGTCAGTGCGTGTCATAGTGACTGGTTGACCAGTCATTCTGGTCGTTCCATCGTTTGGTCGGTTAGATGGGGAATCCGAGACCCAGAGAGGTTACCTATTGGATGAGTCAAGATGAGAACTCATGTCTTGGGCATCTCTCCCTACCCCTCACATCACTCTTTCTTGATAAAGTCTGTGAGCTTGAGTGGGGAGGACATATTAATGCACAGGCTCTGCCACCAGTTTGCAGCTGTACGACCTTGGACAAATCACTCTGTGCGCCGCAGTGCCCCATCTGGTCTCCTTCAGCGAGAATGTTGTGTTCTGAGGGGATGGCAATGCTATAGTGACTGTGAGGCTTGAACACACTCAGGGTACATTTTTCTGGAGTGACAATTTTATATGAGGCTCTTTTTTAAAAAATTTTATTTATTAATTTTTAAATATATTTCTTACTGATTTCAGAAAGGAATGGAAAGGAAGAGAGAGAGAGAAACCACAATGATGAGAGATAATTATCGATCGGCTGCCTCCCTACTGGGGATTGAGCCTGCAACCCAGCCCTTGATTGGAATCAAACCTAGGACCCCTCAGTCCGCAGGCCGACGCTCTATCCATTGAGCCAAACCAGCTAGGGCGAGGCTCTTTTTTTTTTTTTTTAATGTTTTTATTGATTTTAGAGGGGAAGAGAGAGGGATGGAGAGATGGAAACACAGACGAGAGAGAAACATCTATTTATTGGCTGCCTCCTGCATGCTTCCTAGTGGGGATCAAGCCCACAACCCAGGCATGTGCCAGGCCTGACTGGGAAGTGAACTGGAACTGAGCCAATCTGGATGGGCTTACATGAGGTTTAAGTAATATGGAGAATGCTTTTTAAATATAAAAAACAGCTATATGGTAAAGAGCAAAACTTTAAAAAGAAAACAATAGGCTTGAGATACGTGTTTCTGGTTTTATGGTAGGCTGCTTTGCACTCTGCTCTAACCTCTGGGGTTACGGACCACACTCTGAAGCTCTTGTCATTATTTAGTAGAAAGAGTTGAGAAGCTCTGGGTTAAGATGATCCAGGGGCCCTGCCTACTCCCAGGGTTAGCAGGCCTGTGGGCTGTGGCAGTAGGAAGCAGCCATGTGGTCCAGGCATTTGAAAGTCACCTCAGACCACAGTCTCCGTCCTCAACCTTTTTCCTAAAGGGAAAGGTGGTAAGAGATATCTAGGGAAATGCCCTGCACCGGTGACATTCTTCCAGTGACATGGCGGCACTCGCACTGGCCCAGTGGTTCCCAACCTTTTTTTGGCCACGCCCCACGTAAGCATCACTAAAATCCTGATTCCCTCCCACCCCCGGCCTGGACATACAATTCTTATCATCCAAAAAGTCCTCCATGTGTGCGGACAGGGCCCTGGCGTCCACCGGCATGCCCACGTCCTCTTCACTCATTGACTGCGGCCCCTGCCTTTAATGTTAGGCAGCGTAGAGAGCACATTGCAGTAACATGCAAACATTTTAATACGCCAGATCGGTGTTATAGGAGCAGAGATGTTACCCCACCAGATCATCCTTGCAGCCCTGCGGGTGGAGCCTTACTTCTCAGACCAGAAGCTGAGCCAGCACTGAGTCGTCTTTAGTCACACAGTGAGGCAGAAGCGGAGCCCCGGCTGGGGCCCACACCCTGTGTCCCTGGTCCGTGCTTCCCTTCGGGCCTGGGAAGAATACCCCCCCGACCCCCCGCTTCTCTCCACACCCCTGCCCCCACCTTTAAAAGCCTGTGTGACCTCAGCCTCTTCTCCCCCAGGGAGCCTACTACACACAGCCGGTGTACGCTGCCCAGCCCCACGTCATCCACCACACCACGGTCGTCCAGCCCAACAGCATTCCCTCTGCCATCTACCCGGCACCTGTAGCTGCCCCCAGGACCAACGGCGTGGCCATGGGCATGGTGGCTGGCACTACCATGGCGATGTCAGCAGGTAAGGGCCATCTTTGTATCAGCGTCCACTCATCCCCCTCCTCCAGAAACTTGTGACACAGTAGAACACCGTCATGGAATCGATGTAGCATCCTAGGAGAAATCCTGTGCTGGGGCTTCTGGGAAATAGAGGCGGCGGGCGGGCGGGCGGGGGGGGGGGGGGGTCTCTAAATCTGTCCGCAGGGATCAGGAAGATCTCACCAGGAGAGCATATTGAGCTGGGCCTTTCAGGGTGAACAGATGCTAGCCAGAGAAGTGAAAGGGGAAGGGCAGTCCCCTTTCACTTCTCTGGAAAGACCATGAGAATGGCGTGTCCACGGAGTGGAAATGGCCGAAGGCACTTAGAAAATAGTGTGTGAAGTTGGAGGGGTGGCTGGGAAGTGGGGAAGAGAATACCTGTAGGTCGGAGAAGGGCGTTTAGGGGAGGAGAGATAGGCTTGAAACATCCCCTCTGGCTGCAAGGTGGGGGCAGGATTAGATGTGGGGCTGGAAGCACGCAGTGCAGAGGAGAGAGGGTGGCATGAGGACTCGGATGCAGCAGTGGCTCCCAGAAGGAGCATGGGGATGTGACTCAGCAGCAGGAGCTTAAGGACCAGCCTTAGAATCAGCTGAAATGCACGGGAGAAGCAGGCGTCCAGGACTGTCCTCCACTTCCAGCTTACTCCGCAGCGGAGGCCTCCCGCAGGGACCTGGGGGAGGGGCAGGAGGGAAGCCAGAGGAAGAGCAGGTTTAGGGAAGTCCGGAGGAGTTGGTACTCCAGAGAAGAGATGAGGAGACAAGAGGGCTTCAGAGTCCCAGCTTCTAAAGAATCGCTGTCCCCTTCTGAGGGAAGAGAGCACAAGGGTCGAGTGGGTAGGAGGTAGACGATTGGGATTTCATTCTGCCCCTAGTGGAAACGGTTGTTGAGGCCTGCCAGCCTTGTTCAGCTCCTGGGTACCAGGTACCAATAGCTCAGACTAGAGCCCTGGTCTTAGGAACAACTAGGTTAGTGAGAAGCATAAGCACATAAGCAAGATACCCCTCCATTAGGTATTTCTGCAGTGACAGGAGCATGCAGAGAGGAGGCCACTGGAGAGGGGTGGGCTCTGCCTGGAGCATCAGGACAGCTTTTCCTGAGGAGAGAGACCTGGCGAGTGGGGAAGGGCGGTCCGCTCATGGGCTGGGGGGAGGCGGGGCCCAGCGGAAGCAGCTATGGGGGAGACCATGGCCGCCTCCTCTCCATCTGGGCCCTGGGATAGCCTCACCAGCTTTGCTCTTCTCTCTCTGGGTGCTCAGGTACCCTGCTGACTGCACCCCAGCACACCGCGATTGGGGCACACCCTGTCTCCATGCCAACATACAGGGCTCAAGGGACCCCTGCGTACAGCTATGTGCCACCACACTGGTAAAGCCTGCAGCCCATCCAAGTGAGTGGGGTTCGGGTGGGAGAGGTGGGAGGGCGGTGAACACTGGGGCTGCTTCAGAATCCCCGGTGTTGTGCGGCAGAGACAGTTACCAGTTGCTTTCATGCTTCAGTTCCGTAATACCATTCTTCATAATAGTGTCACTTTACATATATTATAGGTATTTAACATGTTATCTAATATCCCATCAGCTGTGGTGTACAGATAACTACTCAGTTCGGCATCCCTAACCAGTAAAAATGAAGCAGGGACCTGGACTCCAGTCCTCTAGTACTAAATTCTAGACTCTTTACCATACGGTCTTCACACTTCTTTTAACTGTGGGCACCATTCTTCAACAGAAATCTTACTCCAATCAGATGTTGGCTCTGACTGGTGCCAACCACTGCCACCCTGTTCCCCTTGCCCTCGGCAGCTTCTGAGGCAATGCTAGTGAATCACAGGGGCCGGGGTGTCAGCAGCCCTGCCCCCCCCCCCCCATCCTCCTGGGGCGCTTGCACTGGACGGGAAGCAGGCAGCTCCGCTGGGAAAGCACAGAGGGCTCCCAAGGGGAGGGGAAGGGGGTCCCCGGCTTCCCAAGTGGCCTTGGGAACACCACTGTCACTGACGGCTCTCCCCTCCTCCCCAGATCCGGAGCCACACATTGTATGCAACTACTCAAGTCTTACCGGTGCTGGAGCAGCTCCTAGCAGCACCACCTCTATTTGCAAGAAGAGACAACGGAAGTGCAAGGGTCACTTTATGCATCTTTAGCGGTTTTGATTTTTATTTTTGGTTTATGTAAAAGCTGCTTTTTCTAATCTCCCGCCTCTCCCCACTACCCTCCTCTTAGCCACTGCCCTTCCAGCTTCACCCCTCCTCCTACCTGACCAGGCACTTCCTCTCTGCTCTTCTTCTCCCCTCCCCCACGCGTCCATTCCCGGGGATCCCGGTTAGCGGCAGGTAGAGAGTGGGGGATATTGCAGTGGGTCAGCTGAAGGCACGGTTTCCGATTTTCTTTGAAAAGCCTAACAGATGTTGGGTCAGGGTGGGAACTCAGAGCTATTGAGCAGGCTCCATCTTTGGGGGATTGTTTCCTTTTTTTTTAATTTTTCTCAAGATTAGTTTAGGGCATTACCATGTCCTGACACAAATGAAATGTCTTCTGAGAACCATCACAACAGACCAAGAACAAAACACCCGATTAGGTAGGAGTGTTCATAGGAGCTTAGTATCTGTTCTCACCTGGGAAGAACAGATTTTGGGGGGACATTTGGGGGTGGGGGGAGCACTGTGTGAGGGAAGAGGGAGGGGGTACCTGCCTGCTGGCTTTGGTTTGTAAGGCCTCTGGCTAGATTGCCTGGGCCTAGACCCTCTGATTTGCACAGTGATGTAAACTGACCTGGCACTTCCTCAGAAGGTGATTTTGACTTCAGACCTGCCAAGCAGCTGCAGGGTGGTGGGCTCCCAGGGTGGAAGGCCAGGTGCCCGGTATAATCCAGACCTTGGCCCCTGAGCCCCCATGGACCCACTCTGATGAGGAGCCAGCTCCTGATTAGCATGGGGACCTATGGCATTTCTCTCCCTTCCCTCTGCCCTTCCCAGTGCCAGAGCTCACCCATCTGTCCTTGGGGCTAGCCACTCATGGCCAAAGTGAAGGAACCACATTCCAGATGGGTGCTGGCAGCTCTGAAGGTCAGAACAGTGAAGGAAAAGCAATAGCAATAAACATTTCATAGACTCATGGACCTGAAGGGACCTTAGCAATCATCTCATCCATTCCCCTATTTGACAGATGAGGAAGCTGAGGCCTAGAGAAGAGGACAGGACTTCCCTAGAGCTCGCAGTAAATTAGCATTAAATGCAGCCTTTCTACCTAGGGGCATGTTGCCCAAAAAAGTTGACCTAGGGATGGATTAGCTTGGTTTTGTAAAAATTAAGTCAGCAGTGCCCACATCTGGTGAGCTCTGGCACAGTATCTGTCTGTCTGGGGGTTTGTTTCTGTTCTTTCCCTCCCTGGACTCCAAAGGCAGGGGGAAGATGGGGCAGAGGTTGCATGGGAGCAGATGGCAGGAACAGAAATTGCAAATGAAGAAACAGCATTTGGGAATTCTGTGAATACATCTGGAATTTATGTCCTATACCTGACTCCAGCCCTAGGAGGATGAGCAGGCAGGCTGTGAAAAGGAGGGTCCATGCATTTAGGACAGCAGCGCTAATCCTGAGAGGAGAGGAGGACCAGGATGAGGCCTGAGAAGAGGTGGCCCTGGGTCAGGAGGCCCTGCTAGGCCACCTCAGCCTGGTTTGCCCCCTGCACCTACCCCATGGCTGGGCCGGCAGCACCCCCTAGTGGGGGCAAGGACACATTTTACTGTACAGAGTGGGATCATTGATAATATTTGGGACTTTTAAATAAATTTTTAAATTCATTCAAACGTGGACATATCCCTATCTCTACCTCCCATCACTGCCTAAAGGAGGAAAAAAAATCAGAAACCCTTGGGCCAGGAGGGCAAAGCCCATCAGCATCCTCAGCCAGAGTCAGAAGTTGGGGCCAGCCTTCTTGGCCTGCAGGGACCTGGAGGACCAGGCAGGAGAAGCCCAGCCGTGAATGGTCTGTCCCGGGTGCTGAAGTTTCATTTTAAAAGTTTCCCAGTGTTAATCCATGTTTTGCAAATACCTCCTCCTCTCTGGTTTAGATTATGTCCTACATATTTGGAAAATGCCAAAATAATAATAACAGGAAACCTTTGCATTTATCAGGTGCTTCATAGATTTCAGAGCACTTCACAGCCTGTGATTTACTGGCCCTGAGAGCGACACGGGCAGAGTTATACCCACTGGCCAGTGAGGAGCTGGTTCTAGGGGGAGAGGGAACTTGCCGAGTGAGCAGAACGCTGGCCCCGGACAGACTTCCTGAACCTGCGGCATCCAGATGGGCTGCAGAACCAGAGAGGAAGGGAAAGAGGAGACTTAGGGATGACCTTGTTCCTTCTGTTCTTCTACACCAGTAAGGAGAAACTAATGTCTAGTACCTTGCAGTTCACAGAACAATTTCACATCCATCCTCTGATTTAATCCTATAGAACAGATTATTCCTCCCATTTGACTTAGGAAACAAACTCAGAAAAGCAAAGTAACTTGTCTATCTGCTTTCTCTCCCCCCTCCAATCTGACTTATTCACAAGCTTGCAGACTATGCATCTATGCTCTGCACCCTCTCTTAGCCCTAGTATGTAACTCAATATCAAAGACAGGCCCTACGGCATAGCCAAGGCAGAAAGGCTGTATCCCAAGAGCCCAGGCCCGGCACCCCTTCTGTAGAATGAGTGCTGGAGCTTCGTTCTCTTGCTCTGACGGAGATCCACAGGCCTGGCCAGGCGTGGAGAGTCATTGCAGAGAGCCTGAGCCAGGAGGACAGGGGCAGCACACCTGGCAGGCTCACAGGTGTCTGTCAGGAGGTGCCATGGGCATCATCCAAAGGTACTGGTGGCCCAGTGGTCAAGCTGGACAGAAGGTCAGAGCCAGGAGGGCCCTGTCACTGTAGAAAGGCCAGCAAGCCAGAGAGGACAGGGTGTGCCAACATGACAGTGAGCTGCAGTGCTGGTCCCGCGTGCAAATCCCCCTCCACTGCCTCTCCCAGTACCACAGCTTGGTGGCCGACATTCAGGGTATGTACGTGGTTCTAGTCACCAACCAACCCTTTCACTCCCCTTTCCCTTCTATTTGACTCCCTCTCAGTAGCCTGGGGCCTAGGAAGCTGGAGTACCCCCAATCTGCCACATTTTGAAAATGTTTTAAAAATGTCTTCCCCATGAGACAGGACAATTGCTGCTCCTCTCTCTCTCCTGGTAATGTTCCTAGAGTGATACCCCCTTCCCTAAATATTGAACAAGGACATACACCTGTTCAGAGTGTTTTCATGTACAAAGTACTTTGACATTGATTGCCAAAATACCCATCTTACAACTAAGTCTCAGAAGTCTTAAGACTTGCCAAAGGTCACAGAGCTCAAGAGAAAGAGCCAGCACTTGAACTCTTCAGATTCTCTGCTCTTCTTGCCGGCACCTGCTGGGTCTGAGTGGCAGGGGTGAGGAAGGGATGGCTTCCTGTCTTATCCCACGGGTGAGGACCAGGACCTGAGACTGCATAGTCCTGACTCCTTCTCCCAACTCCTACCTCTGGCTGCTGGTTCCAGGTCTGAGGGATCTATGTGTAGAGGTCTGGGGAGCTTCTTTGTTCTGCGTGGCCTCCGGAGTGAGTTGTGGGACATAAAGTAGGCAGGCCTCTTGGTCACCACATTCTGGTGTTGTTCAGACAGGACTAGACCAGACTTAGCCAGGCCTGGAGCCCTGCCTGTCAGATTCCTCGGCTCTGCTGCATGGCCCGAGAGGGAGGGCTGAGAAGGCGTGGGTCTTGGGCACAGCACTCTGACCAGAAAAACTTAGATCTTACTGTGGCATTTCTCCTCGTTGTAGTCGAAAGCATATGGCAACTCTGCTTTTCCAACCTGCATTCTACCACATCACTACAGGGTATTTCTAAGCTAAGCTTAGAATCCAGAGGGGTTAGGCAGGCTCCAGAAGGAATCCAGGCCCAACCCATCGTGGAAAGCAGGATCACAGTAGACACTCAGCCAGACTGACATCAGATTCTATGGGCAGGCCAGGCTAGCTGCAGCATCTGTCCTTTACCTGTTCATGCTCCCCTCTCCTAGAGAACTCATTTCTGAAATTAGGCATTACGTGGTTCCAGGGCCCAGCTGTCAAAATTTCCTGCAGGCCAGCTTCAACATTCCATAGCCAACCTTGCCTGAAGCAGACGTGGGTCCCTCTCACTCAGTTTCTTCAGTAGGTGTTTTCTGTCTTGCATGCTATTGCATCCAGCCCAGTGGCCGAGTGAGACACACAGGAGGTGGGACTGGCCGTCACAAAGCCTGACAGGGAAACCAGAGCTCTCTTTCCTGTGGCTGCATCCCAGTCCCTAGGCGTGGCGGTGAGACCCCG